ATATATTTATATATTTACGGATCGGATCGGATATCCGCTTTCCAAAATTTTAATATTTGTGATTTGCTTCGATTTTAACGGATATTGAATTTTAGTATTTGCTTTGATTCGAAAGTTTACGGATATCCGGAATTTTCGGATCGAATCGAAACGAATAACGGATCGAATCAAATATAACGGATAAAATGCCCAGCCCTAGCATACATCAAGCAACTTTGGCAATAGAATAGTTGAAAAAAATAAACTTTTTAGCAATTTTTGTTGTTGCTCATGATCATTTTCTTAACTTGAAAATTTTGAAATTTAGATTCTTTAAATATTTGTTGCTGAGTTGAATATTTTCTTGTTTGTCTTTTTTACATGTCTAACTCTAATAGTATTTGACAATTTATTTCAGATTAAGAGAGATTATATGCAAAACACTAAAATTTGTAAATATCTATGTTTCTTCACATCAGTGGAAATGTGAATCAGTCAACATAAAATTTGTATATACATAAGCGTCGAATAGTGTAGATCAAATGGAACAAATGCAGATCAAGCGGATCATGCATAAGAGATGTAGATCAAACAATTTATTATAAATTATGAATGATAAAATCAGTTCAAAACTATAGATCATATATTTAAACAATAAAAGATTACACCAAAATATCAAAATAAATATTTTAGATGTTGTAGGATCAGCCGAAATGTTTATTGAATTTTTCATAAGATGCTTGCAATTCTTTTATTTTCTTTTTAGCTGATCAAAATTATTTTTGAAGAACCGACATGTTATTAATATTAATCTCGTTGTTGATATTTATATAGAAAGATTTATACTCCCTCCGTTTCTTTTTATAAGTAGTTTTAGAGAAATATTTTTGTTTCAAAATATAAGTAGTTTTCAAATATCTAGGCAACTTTTACATTTATTGAATATGGTATGTCCAATCAAATAATACTGACCTATTTATGATTGGTTTTATTATACTTAATTTAATATACCAAATGTTACTTTAAGAACATAATAAATTGTTCTTAATATTTGTGCATTCATGTAAAACTACTTATAAAAAGAAACGGAGGGAGTATCTTTTTGTTGAAAAATATTATGTTTTGTCTACGACTGAATGTCATACTTATAATTTTAAAATTGACACAAATAGTATTTATTCTGAACTATATTATCTTAGCTAATCATTATACATTATTTATAAAATCAAATAAATATATTTAAAATTAGTATTTGTAGCAAAATCATTTATTAGTGAAAAAAACAGATCAACACCTTCAAATGTTGTGTTCGAATGGAGGAGCATGACAAGTGTAGTTCTCCCGCACTTGTAGTTCTCGTGCAATGCTTTTACCATTCACCTTTTTGAGTACGAATGAAAAAGCAGGATAAGTGCAGTTCTCCTGCACTGCTTTTACCATTCACGTTTCTATGTTTATAAAAGCAGTTCAAACGGGAGATCTGCATGCAGTTCAATATTTTATGTCTTTTATGAAAAAAATAGGAGATCTGCATGCAGATCTCACCCGCTAACATTTGATGGTGTTGATATGCTTTTTTCATTAATAAATGATTTTGCTACAAACATTAACTTTAAATATATTTATTTAATTTTATAAATAATGTATAATGATTAACTCAAACAATATAGTTCACACGAAATACTATTTGTGTCAATTTTAAAATTATAAGCCTTTCATTTTTAAAATTATAAGTATGACATCCAGTCACAGATAAAACACAATATTTTTTAACGAAAATGATACAATTTTTTTTATATAAATACCAAAAAAGATTTTAATATTAGTAACATGTTGGTTCTTCAAAGATAATTTTGATTAATTAAAATGAAAATAGAAGAAGTACAAGCATCATATGAAAAATGTAATAAAGATTTCGGCTGATCCTACAACATCTAAATATTTATTTTGATATTTTGGTATAATATTTTATTGTTTGAATATATAATCTATTGTTTTAAACTGATTTTGTCATTCATAATTTATAATAAATTGTTTGATCTTCTGCATGATCCATTTGATCTGCATTTGTCCCACTTAGGTTCCGAATGGTAAAAGCAATTCAAGCAGGACAGATCAAGCAGATCATGCTGATCAAGGAGGACAAGTGCATATCAAGCAGATCATGCAGGAGATATGCAGATCAAGCAGAACAAATTATTTTAGAAGTTATAAATGGTAAAAACAGTTCAAAAAATGCAGATCATGTATTTCAATAATAAAAATTACACCAGAATATCAAAATACATAATGGAAAAAATACATAAACAAACGTAAAATAATTTAAGGATTTTCCCATAACATATCTGCGATGTTGTCTCTAATGTTCATCATATGATTTCCATCAGCCATATTTGTTGTCTCCAAATCACGAGGATCACTTTCCGAATCTTCGTTGCTGAAATTTGTGTGTCTCATTACTTCAACAAAATCCTCATCAAAATAATTTGAAATTCTAATGAAATTTTGTAGTCCCATTGTAGCAGTTACCACTCTTTTTTGAACTGCAATATCATATATGGGAAAATACTCAGAATCCTCCATTTCTTCGTCCAAACTCCAAATGTCCTATCAATAACAGAACGTAGAGATGCATGACATCGATTAAACATCTCTTGTTTATTTTTAGGAGGAGGATCGTTGTTGAAATGAGACATGTGATACCTAATAACTCCATTCCGAGAAGATCTATAGGGAGCCATAAAACCTCGCTTATTTGGATATCCAGAATCTACTACATAATACTTGTCTCCTGGAGACAAAGGAAATTCAGAATCACTGTCTTGTGTCATCGTGAGAACTGCTGTATTGTGACAAGATCCGGGTGCTCCATTCCAAACATATGTAAACAATAGATTTAGATCACATATTGCCATGATATTAAACGATGTCTTATCATGTCGATTTCAATACATTCCTTGTAGTTCAGGCTTCACTTTAATACATACATGAACTCCATCCATAGCTCCAACAAATCCACTAAAATATGGCCAGTATCTTCTGTCTGTTTGCAGTATTTCAGGAATTCGAAGTAGCTCTTGTCTTGTTGGAGTCTTGACATAATCACAAGCAAGTAACTCTGTCGCCCTAAGAACTTCAAAAAACTTTCGATTCACTGTCTTTTGCGTCCGTCCAAAAAATTATCTAACATCTCTTTGAACTTCATTATGCCCACAAATTTGCAAAAACATTGCTACACTCTCTTTGATACTAACATTTAGTGTAAGATGCAAACCATATTTTGATTGCAATATGTCACAAAGAGATCTAAAAGCATCCAGAGACATTCATAGTAACTGAAGACATGCAACATCATCTACTTTATACACTACAAGACAAAAAAGAGAACATCATCAAAAAAGGTGAGGATACAAACGTCATGCAGAAGACTTGCTTTATACATTACAAGACAAAAAATTAAACATTGGGTAGATGTCATGCCTTTATTTTTTTTAAACTATAAAAAATGTGAATGGCAACACCAAAACAGTTCTCCTGCCCGAGTCTCTCTCCTGTCTCTCTCCTGCTTCCCATTCACACTCTTAATTTTCACTTGTCCTGCTTGATCCGCATGAGCCGCTTGGTCTGCACCGCTTGATCTGCT